AAAGGAAGCTGCTGTGTAAGCTGCTTGTAAGCTGCTGCTCTAAACTGTTGTGCCAGATATAGACAATCTTCTATCATGAGTAATATTTATCCATAGCGGAGTACCGAAAGGATAAGCTTCTTCAAGAGGTTTATTTCCAATAGAGTACTAAATAGATAAACATATTTATGGCGGAGTCTCATATGGATAAACTTCTTCAGGAAGCTTATTTACAACGGAGTACTAAATGAACATCCATAATATAATATATTCATAACAATAGGCACATTATCTCTTATTAATAAAAGGGATGAGGAAACAAACATGGTAAAAGTATGTTTGTGGTTTTTTCTTTCTTTTAATGATTTTTTACGGTAAAATTTCAGTAATTGATTTTGAAGTCCTATAAATTAGGATTCATACCTATTTTAAATAAGGAAGTATTTAATATATAAAATATAATTAATTTTGAAGCCATAAAATTTAGGCAAATAACTTAAATTACTATTTTATCCAATATATAATATATTTTTAAAGGATAAAAAAGACGAACGACATTTCGTTAAAGGCATTTGTGCTTTTAATATAGTACTAGTTTCTATATACGTGCTTTGCACGTTGATATTTAGTCAATTCTCTATATGCAATATTATTATATAGCAACTGAAGTGAAAATGCAGTAGTCATTGAAGTTCTGAAAATTGATATAATACCTATTACAACGGATGATTTTAGGTTTGGTTTGTTTAATCTGTGTATATTTATTTGTGATTTATTTATATTTGTTTAGGGTTCAAAACAATGACTAATTCATTTTGGAGTCCAAATTAAAATTTAACACTAAATCTAAAGATGCAGCACGTAAGATTTTTCTGAAAGAAAAAAAACATATATTTATATCTATTGCCATGTTTCTATAATAGAATTAGACTTTAAGCAAAAACTTTCTACATTGAAAAAAGTTGTACTAATATTTAAAGCTCTACCTTATAGAACTTTGTACGGCGAAGGGCCAAATATACCCATGTATTTTCGAAAATGCTCTAAAAATACCCCTCGTTATACTATTGGGCTATATATACCCTTCCCATCATACTTTGGACCAAATATACCCTTATTTTGGATGGAGTGCCACGTGTCAGCACCAGATGAAAACGACCAATTTTATTTTTACCCGATCCATTTAAAAAATCCATCACCCGACCCGTTTTAAAATTCAATTTTTTTAAAGCATATATTTTGTAAAAACTGAATTTTTTTTTTGTAAAAACTGGAAAAAAAGGAATTTGCAAAATATATATTTTTAAGTCTTTTCAGTTTTTTTACAGTATTGTTTTTTTTAAAAACTGAAAAAAAAATAATATTTTTTTTAAAAATGCTTTAAAAACTGAAAAATATATATTCTGTAAAAACTGAAAAAAAAATAATATTTTTTTTAAAAATGCTTTAAAAACTGAAAAATATATATTCTGTAAAAACTGAAAAAAAAAAAGAATTTGCAAAATATATATATTTTAGTTTTTTCAGTTTTTTAAAGTAATATTTTTTAAAAACTGGAAAAAAAATTGCAAAATATTTTTATTTTTTAAAAACTAATGCATATGTAGTCCACTGCTTTAGGAGAGTTTTTTTTTTAGTTTTTATAAAACATATTTTTTTTCAGTTTTTACAAAAAAAAATATTTTAAAAAAACTGAAAAGACTTAAAAATATATATTTTGCAAATTCCTTTTTTTCAGTTTTTACAGAATATATATTTTTCAGTTTTTAAAGCATTTTTTTAAAAAAATATTTTTTTCCAGTTTTTACAAAAAAAAATACTTTAAAAAAACTGAAAAGACTTAAAAATATATATTTTGCAAATTCCTTTTTTTCAGTTTTTACAGAATATATATTTTTCAGTTTTTAAAGCATTTTTTTAAAAAAATATTTTTTTCCAGTTTTTACAAAAAAAAATACTTTAAAAAAACTGAAAAGACTTAAAAATATATATTTTGCAAATTCTTTTTTTTTTTCCTTCAGTTTTTATAAAAAAAAATTCCAGTTTTTACAAAATATATGCTTTAAAAAAAATGAATTTTAAAACGGGTCGGGTGATGGATTTTTTAAAACGGATCGGGTATAAAAAAAAAAGAAATGGGTCGTTTTCATCTGGTGCTGACACGTGGCATTCCATCCAAAATAAGGGTATATTTGTTCCAAAGTATGACGGGAAGAGTATATATAGCCCAATAGTATAACGAGAATATTTTTAGACCATTTTCGAAAGTACAGAGGTATATATATGGCCTCGGCCGAACTTTGTATAATGATTCCTTTAAGTTTGGGTTATTCCTCTTTCTTCTTTTGGAATATTATACTTCCTTAATCAGTTCTAATTAAACAATGCATCTGTTATGCCGATTCAATGTATTTAAGAGGTGATCATCTTTAAAAAATTGTTGTTTGTACTGTGTGATGCAAATTATTTAAGTATTAATGTAATTTCACTTTTTGTGGACGCGAACAAGTTTTTCTTTCCTTTTTAACATTAATTGTTTTTCTTTTTAACTTTTTATGGAGTATTTTTATAATATTATTTTTTCGGGTTAATAATTTTATTCTTTTTCTGGCTGTAGAATACAACAACAACAATAATTCAGTAAAACTTCACTAATGGGGTCTGGGGAGGGTAGTGTGTACGCAGACCTTACCTCTACCCAAAGGAGTAGAGAGACTGTTTCCGAAAGACCCTCCTCGGCTCAAGAAAATAAAAAGACAAAAAGACAAAAGGAGACAATATTAGTATCACTACAACAATCATAGGAAAAATAGGAACACCATGAAATACAGAAGAAAGATGCAAAGCAAAAGCGATAGCTAGTAAATAGGACATGCACTGAAAAGCGAAGTAGTAAAACACAACATTGTCACTAGCTATCTTAGACAAAAACCCTACCTGACTAGTCCCACAATGGTATGAAGTAAGTCACGACTCAACTACATCCTAACCTACAACTCTAATACTCGACCTCCACATCTTCCTATCAAGTGTCATGTCCTCGGAAATCTGGAGCCTCGCCATATCCTGTCTGATCACCTCTCCCCAATACTTCTTAAACCGCCCTCTACCTCTTCTTGTGCCCTCCACAACCAGCCGCTCACACCTCCGTATCGGAGCATCTGAGCTTCTCCTTTGAACATGTCCGAACCATTTAGAATGATATTTCGAAAAACGTCACAAGTTGAATTGTGTCAGCTTAGGAGTCTCAAAACAAACACGATATTTTAACCAATTGATCTTCAATATATAGCCAAAAAATTGTCTATTCGTGACTTTTGCATACTCTCTTCTTTATTATTCGCGTTTAGAATGGGCAAACAATTGAAGTCTTTAACCAGTAGGACTCATAAATGTCTAGGTCACCTTAACTTTTATCTTAAACTTTGACTTGAATTCTTTAGATAAAAGAATAATAAATCTATAATGTAAGTATGTCCACAGCTCCATAAAAGGACTGTCACATAGACAGAAGCTAAGCAATTTGACATAATCTTGAATATATTTTTATCTCCTTCAATAGAAATTAAAGAATAAGAGGAAAAAAAAAAAGCTACATAGAGAACCTTTCAGAAAAAAATACTTTTTGAGTAAAAGATTAAAGCATACCACAGGGCATGCAGCATCATCTTGTTATGTTCATGGGCTATCTATATACAATTTCCGATATCGTAGTCAAACTCAACCGATTATTTCACAGTTTTTATCAGAACTATTACTCACTTTATTAGGCCAATTACTCATATGATCTACAAGGCTACAATTACTTTGTCGAACTTTTCTTTTCTATCATTCTCTAGCATAATTGTCAGAAAAAGCTATGTAGGTGTAATACTTGAGCAGAGTTTGATATAATATGGATTGTAAAACGCACACGAATGCGTTCGAGTGTATTCTATTTATCCATCTAAATCACACATTTGCTGATTCAATGACCAAGAAAAACACTTTTGTTTGAATACTGTTTCATGTACAATCACTTTTTCTTGTGATGTAATACTTGATAGAGTAGATTACCGTGTCAGAATTAATATGAACATAATGGTATCAAATTTAACACTTTAGATGCACAAATATAAAATTTAGATTAAAATATTGAGTAATATGACTTACCAATTCGAGACACAGGCAAAACTGCAAGAACTCTTGGACCATTGAAATTTGATTACAAACGACCACCAGCTTCTTCTATCCGATTGAGTTCATTAGACCGATCAGACTAAAAAAAAAGTTGGGAAATCAACATTAATTAAGAATACATAAAGGAATAAGAAGAAAGCAAAACCAAACCATGTTAGGAGAATGACGTAAATAAGGAGCACTAAAAGAAATAAAGAAGAGAAGTTTTTGACATGCTTACAGCCAATTACGATTGTAGATATATGATTACTACAGCAAATTAAATATGAAATCTATGGCATATATAAAATTAGCCGTCGGTTTGGAACTTAATCGGTAAGAGGTCCATGCGGCTTTCTGCTTCAAAAAATATGTGCGACAAAAGGCACCGTATAACCCTTTTTATATTGGTAAGAGATGATTTAAAGTCTTCTTAATCACGTGGGATTGCTATGGCCTTAGAACTTCAACAATAAGTAGGACACTTATTTGATTGGTATAAGAATTTCGTGTATATTAGTATGAGTGTTTGGGGTTACGATTTTATCCATCACGCAACTATCCTTTTTTAAAATATAATTTAACTTATGGAGGGTATAGAAGTCTATCAATATTTTAAGAATATTTTTGTCGTTTAATATTTAGCGTGAAATATTCATGCTTTTATAATAATATAGATAGATAGATTGATAGATTCATACTTCAACTTATTATAATAAGATTGTATAATAATTCTCTCACTGTCGGAGGGGTTAAATTCTAAAAAAAAACTATTAAGTGGGCGTTTGGACATAAGAATTGTAAAATCCCGAAAAAAGTGAATTTCTTTTCAAGTGAAAATGGTATTGAAAATTAGAGTTGTGTTAGGACATGAATATAATTTTAGGTTGTTTATGAATTTGTGAGTGATCTGAGTGAAAATTGTGAAAAACAGTTTTTTGGAGTTTTTAAAATTTTCAAGAAATTCCAAAATTCATCTTCAAATGAAAATTGGAAATTTTATGTCCAAACACTGATTTCGAAAAAAATAAAAAAATTTCATGGCCAAATGGGCTCTAAGTAGGCGTTTGGACATGAATTTCAATTTTTTTTTTTCAAATTTGGAATTTTACTAAAATTTAAATTGAAGATGAAGTTGTGTTTGGTTATAATTTTTGCAACATATTTGGATGTCTTTTTTTCAACATATTTTGCAACTAAAAACTAGCAACCTTCCCATTTTCAAGTGAGATTGGAAAAATTGTAAGATTTTGATAACCAAACATTATTTTCAAAAAAATAATTGAAAAAAAAAGAAAAAATTTCTTATGTCAAACGGGCTCTAAATTGGCGTTTGGACATAAGAATTGTAAAATTCCAAAAATAAAGTAAAAGAAAAATTCAAGTGAAAATGGAGTTTGAAAATAAGAGTTGTGTTTGGACATGAATATAATTTTGGGTTATTTTTTATGTTTTGTAAGTGATTTGAGTAAACATTTTGAAAACAACTTTTTGGAGTTTTTCAAATTTTCAAAAAATTCTAAAATTGATCTTCAAGAAAATTTTATGGCCAAACAATGATTTTAAAAAAAGTGAAAATTTTTCGGTAAAAAAGAAAAAATTCTTATGTCCAAACGGGCTATGAGTATCTTTCTTATAGTTTCATTTAGTAGTACCGACGATACAACAGTACTTGAAAAAAAAGGGCAAGAGTAAGTTTTTTTTTATTAGCCGCATTTATGGGTGGAACATTAAGATAGCTAAGAGGAAAATTAAAAGAATAGGATAAATAAATGTTAATAAAGTATGAAATGATACTCAAACCAGTGAAGGTCAAGGGTATGTACCTCTTCAACAGTTCCTCAAGTTATGTATAGAAAATAATTTATTTATATTAGGTTCACGTCTATTGTTAAATAGTTCGTCTTTCTTTGTTAATGGCCATTCACAAACTTCTTGCCGCTCAAAAAGTTGATGCTTCGTTAGTTAAAAAATTAATTTCGTCTTGCTCAACTCTCTGTACAATTGATTGAAATTTTTTTCTCTACTATACTAGTGACTTCTCTTGTACTACTTCAATGAATTCTGAATTTGGGCCATTTAGCTTCTAGTTTTGGGCACAAGGAATAGCGCAATGAGGAACCTAATAAACCCACAAGACCCGTTTGTACAACAAAAAATTGCAGAAATATGACATGTTTTGGGATGGTCTTTATTTTTGACCCCAGCTTGTCTCATGTGCAGAATTTTAAGATAAAAAATTAAAAATGTTGCTCATGAGGCAAATAAGGGGCAATACTTGTTAAACTTGAAGTTTTGTCGATGAGGCAAACAAGGGACAAAAATTCAAGATCATCCACTTTAAGGGCTATTTGTGTACTTCACCCATTGTACAAGGCCTCTAAAGCTCTTAAAAAATAAACAAAAACAAAGCAACTACCAGTAAGGGCTAGCCACTTTTCAGCCCTGTTATTGAAAAATAATCACTTATGGAATTTTAAATTCAACATGTGAAACTCCATGGCAGTGGTTATTTCAATAATGGGGGCTAAAATGTGGCTATTTGTCTACTATGTTAATCGAACAAAGGGTGCCGCTCTTTTTCTCTGATTCTTCCCAATTTTTTGTTCAGATTTCGGGACCACACTAAGCCAACATTACAACTTCAAATTCTTAAATTTGGAAGATGATGCGTAAAGCTTTATCGACTTTCTCCGTTAACAAAATGGTAACTCAAACTAACAACGATAGATGTTTCAAATTTGTTTTAACATATTATTAGAATCGATACTCTATTAAGCAACTTCAATACTAAACCTCCAAATTTTATAAATCTTGAAGTTCGTCGTCCGTCCTAAAACTTACAAATTTATGTAAAGTCGTATATAATATCTTCAACACCGATTTACTATAAGCATACATGACATGTATGAACAATGTATTGAAAGGTGTTCATAATCTCCTCGAAGTCCATCGGATGCGTGTTTGGAACTTCGTTCATCTTCCCTATGAAAACGCAGCTGTTTTGAATGGTTTGAAGCAAACCTTGCTTCAGCTCGAAATTATTGGCCGCAATTGGAAGTGGTCTAACACTTGACAATCCTTGATTGTAGACTGGTCTGGCATAGTCACCCAATGCTATACCAAGCCTTGCTACCGCATTCTCGAACTTGTCTTCAATCAAGGGTCGATTTAGATTGAATCTTCGACCCCTATTGTCTTCGACATTTTCCTCAGCAACTCTATGGGTTGCCTCAACAACAATCCTTGCAGCTGCCTCTACCTCATTGTCATCGTTATTAGCCATGTGTTCTTGGTTTGAAGGTTGCCCCAAGAACCTTACGGTAAACTCTATCTCCTTCCTCAGTTGTCGCAGGTATTTTTCCAATTCCTGGTTGTATGGTATCACTTCTTTAGAAGAAGATTGTGTCATACACTACAGACTTAACATGTTGCCCTGTACATGGAGGAGAAACCCGTTAAGAATAAAATAAAAGTAAAAATAAAAATAAAACAAATTCCTGAATTAACACTACAAACTATTTCAAACACTATTAATTGCCAATCCGCAGCAACGACGCCAAAATTTGACGAGCTCAAAACACACACTTAAATTATGCTCGCTAGTCAAAGATAGTATAGTATAATATCATGTCCACAGAGATTGGATTTAAATAATATTCTCGTAGTTTCTAGCTTGATTGCTATCCAGGAGGATAAGCAATTGAGATTTATATGATTAATAATAAAATTTAACTAAGAATCTATATCTATTAACTAATGACAATCGAAGCAAGGCCTAAGCAAACGAAGATATCAATAGAAGAAAATGGGGTTTTGATAGGATAGGTACAAGATAATTGTGTGGGATTTAACTCTAGATAATTTACTTCTAATGTTCAAGTGAGTCTCTCGAATTCACTTAATTATCAGTACAATTATTTAGTAGAAACTCCTCTCTCGATTAAGTCTCAACATCTCAATATGAACCAATTTAAGCTATGTGAAGATATGCTAGAATGCGTAATGGATCGGTCTTTAAGAAAATCTCTTTCGATTATTTAGAAGAATCTATGAACTCAACCAATAATAGAATGCAAAGATATCACAAGTTATGCCTATTTCGATTACAAGAATAAGTGAATATAGATGCAACAATTAAATCTTCTAGAAAATGATTCAAATACATAAAAATAGAGTTATAATCCACAAACAATCATCAATACACCAAATTTATCAAAACACAAAAGGATCTACTCCATAGACATGGAGAAGTTCTTCACAAATGTAACTAAGTATAGGAAAGCATAAATTCAATCCAATCCCGGATCTTGAGTGAGAAAGGATTGATGAAATCATTGTGCTTATGTTCTTCCAACTCCTCCCTAGCCTCCTTGGCTTTCTTAGGTCGAAAATGTGTCAAAAGTCTCGAAAATGGTATTTTCCCATGTATTTAAGTCAACCCCCCCAATAAACCCTGCACGAAAATACCCTTTTTAGCGGAAATGGGAACATACTCTAATATTTTTGCACTACCGCGCTGTGGCATGCGCCGCGCTTAGGCATGCGCCGCGCTTAAATCCAGTACGAATTGCAAATCACTTTATGGGCATATATTACACAGTCGTGAATCAGTTTTTCCAATTTTTGACATCCACACTTGGTACTCGACCCCCGAACGCGATCCCAGTTTAAACCCTTGGGCTTCTACTTAGACTTCAAAGCTTCAAATTGCTCGAATTTATTCAGTAATATCTAAATAACTCAGAATCACTCTTACACGGCATAAAACACACAATAAGAGAAAAACACGACTAATTAAAGCTCAACATAAGTAAAGTGAAGTGAATTAGAGTGCAATAAGCGACTAAAATACGGGATTATAGCCTACCATCAAGCTTCCAAAGATACTCCACTCTTAGAAGCTAGCAGTACTCACATTGTTTCCCTTCTTATGGAAAGATTGATGTTGATGTTTCTCCTCTTATTCTTATGTATCAAATGTTGTTGGTATTTCCTAATTCCTATAAGATTCATGATGATGAATTAGCTCTAATAACGAATACAGAGGTTACCTACCTTACATCATGCCGAAAGGTTTAGAACGTGAACCCATGAGTCCAACAAGCATTATATATATGTATCTATTTTACTCTACCGGGCCGCGCTATAGTCGACCGGGTACGATATCTATTGTGCAATCACTTATCAGTGGAGTTTTACCTAGCTCCACGTGGCCGGGTATGATTCTACTGAGCTTTATGATGGCCTGATATGTTTTTACTCAGTCCTCTTCGAGGCCGTATACGATATGATGATGATTTTGCCCACATAGGCGTATGTTTTTAAAGGTATATGTATCAGGCATT